CCCCAGCCCCTGCCCCCCCTCGGCCCCAGCCCCAGCCCCTGCCCCCCCTCGGCCCCAGCCCCAGCCCCTGGCCCCCCTCGGCCCCAGCCCCAGCCCCTGCCCCCCCTCGGCCCCAGCCCCAGCCCCTGGCCCCCCTCGGCCCCAGCCCCAGCCCCTGCCCCCCCTGGGCCCCAGCCCCAGCCCCTGCCCCCCCTGGGCCCCAGCCCCAGCCCCTGCCCCCCCTCGGCCCCAGCCCCTGCCCCCCCTCGGCCCCAGCCCCAGCCCCTGCCCCCCCTCGGCCCCAGCCCCTGCCCCCCCTCGGCCCCAGCCCCAGCCCCTGCCCCCCCTCGGCCCCAGCCCCTGCCCCCCTCGGCCCCAGCCCCAGCCCCTGCCCCCCCTCGGCCCCAGCCCCAGCCCCTGCCCCCCCTCGGCCCCAGACCCAGCCCCTGCCCCCCTCGGCCCCAGCCCCAGCCCGCCCAGGTGCCAAGCACCTGACCTGTCACACCCTTGTTCAAGGCACTACAGGCTCCCCCCTCCTGACCTCCCCTGGCGGCTGCCTCCCAGGCCCTGCGCCTGCCCTGACACATAGGAGGGACCCTGTCGGTCCTCCTCTTGCAAAGCTTTAGAACTCAGCCCGTGTGGCTCTGGCCGCGGCTGCAGCAGGGTAACAGGAAAACAGACAGAACTCAGTAGAGTCCCTTAGGAAGGACTGTCCGGCGGCAGCTGCCATTTCTTGAGCACCCACTGGAGGCTCTCCCAGCGTCTCTAGCACCGGCACGGGCAGGGGAGCCTCATGACCCTATCCGAGAGGTGAGCGAGCCGAGGTCAGACAGGCGAGGGCCCTTGCCCAGGGCCACGTGACTTGCCTGGCTTCAAATGCCGGCGTGTCTGTGGCCACATCGGAGGAGAAATCTCCGGGGCCGAGAACAGCCTGCCCTCCATCCTGTCCTAGCAGAGAAGGGGATGAGTCCCCTGTAGCCCCTGAGTGTGCCCCAGCTCTGGAGAAAAGGTCCTGGCCCGGAGGGTGTGCTACCGGCACTGGAAGGGCCTGGACACCGTCGCTGACATCACGGCCCCTCGTCTCCGAGACCTGGCACCTCCCAGCCGCTCGCTCGCCCCAGCTGCCCACGGCTCCAGAGCCACGTCCCCTCTGGCCAGCCGTCCGATCGGTACATCTGCCAAGTTCCTGGGGTGCCGAGCGGCATTTTCTGCTGTGGGTCTGCTCCCCCGGAGGGCACCTCACTGTGGAGTCCTCAGCGCGGGAGCAGTATTTTCCTGAAGGCATCATGATGGTCGTTTCCCTTACGTATTTTCTTTCCATGTGTGCTTTTGTAAGAGACACTCACCAGCATCTGCATGAGTGTGTGTGTGTGTGTGGGGGGGGGTCTTTTCAATAACGGTGTGTTTTGCAAAACATAAAGGTAATGAAATGATCATTTTAAGGAAAATAGCATGAAGACACGGCTCAGACTTTCAGAACCTTCTCTGGGAGCCTGGCAGTCCTCTGAACGGGTATTTAACAGGAAGGAATATCCACCAATCCGGTGGTTCCCAGTGCTGCAATCCAGGGTCACTGGGTCAGGGGGCCCGGGCCAGCTCGCACACAGAGAGCTGGGAGAAGCTGCTCCTTCCGCAGAAACCCGCGGGTCCCAGAGCACGTAGGCATGCACGCAGCAAGCCATTGTGCATAATGGCCCGAATGCCACTTGTGGGCAAGGCCAGAAGACCGGGGCTTCCTCTGGGGAAATGATATTTGCAGAGCAGGTCAGCGGCATTTGACATTTGACATCCCTTCCGTTGTCACAGAGCCCCTCCCCCCAAGTAACAAGGGATGAACCGATTCTGATTCCACAGGAGTTGATGGGTGGATGAAAATCAAACACCGAGAGCTGTTAAACTCATGATCACGTCTGTCAAAATCCTACGAGGTACACTTTCTTCATCTAGCCCTTAGTTTTTTAATACGTTTCTGGGTTCACACATGATAGCCAATACTCAGTGAGTGTCTGCTCGGTGCAAGGCATGACATATATAAAACAGGCTGTATGTTTTGAAATTAACACTTGGTGTGTCAATTACCATCAAACCCTCCCACCTCTGTTAAATCAAAGAAAGTGACTTGTTTAAACAACTTATTGAAACTCCTTGGTAGTAACTTTCCGTGCCCTGTGGGATCCTCAAGTGCTGTGTGCATGGCTTGCCCTCCATCTCCTCCAACTCCAGATCTCTGGGATAAAGGAAAATCCCCACATTCCCAGTCTCTTAAGGGCTCAAGATCAGTAAACTATAGAATTGGGGGCTGTTACGGGGGTTCCTGGACCACCCAAAGAGCCTGGGAGAGCAGGACTTTCACTGGAATTAGCGTCTCCTGTCCTGGGTATTGCAAGGCCTGGTCTTCATTTAAAAGCGGTGTTCTTCTGAGACAGGATTCCAGGCATCTTTGGCTTCCCAAGCGGCCCACTGCTTAACAAAGGTTCAGGGAAGTCTTGGAGGGTTGGATTAAAAGTCCTAACAGAAGCACAATCAAGTTCCAGGGCTCACAACAGGCCCCTGGGGTCTATAGGAAACAGGGCCTTGTTATGTAGGGAAGCGGGGGAGGGGGATTAAGCACCCCCCAGTGTTGACCATGGCACAGAACCAGAATTGATCCGTGGATTGCATAGGAGGACCTCACCCTCCATGCTTACGTGTTTTATTACAAGTCGTAACCTGATCTTAAAATGCATGGACATTTAGTGATAAGTAGGTACTCTCACGTAAACTCCTAAAATTCCTTTACTTCTGCCAATAAACATCGTGTTCCCAATTACAGACTACCAAGGGAAAATAATGGTAAGAATCACAAAAAACAAGATGAAAACATTTAGTTTTTCATCGTCCCTCATAGGGTTTTATACTGATGCCCCCCAAAAATCCCCACTCAGAGGTGGAATACCAACTTAATTTAAAAGTCAGTGCATCTGAAACGGAATCGACTAATTGGTCTATTTACTGAAAGAACAAAACGGTGCGTCTGGGCTGGGAAGTGCCTGTAGGAAGGGCTGTGTCCTAATGCCAGTGGGCAGCCTTGACCGGCCCAGTGCTGATTGGAGCCCACGCTCCCAGCATCACACTGCAGCCCAACGCTGTTTCTATAAACAAGCCAGTAAAATCATCTCAGGACTTTACCCAGGAAGCAAACAGAAACCTGTCTTAAAAGAAGTTACCTATAAAGAGAACTATTTTGTTTTAACAGATTAAAAGGAATTCACTTGACGTCATTTTAAAAGTTCACTTGAGACGCAGACGATAGAGATAATGCGGTGTAATAAAACGCGAAAGCGAACATAGCATTCTAGACAAGTGGAAACTATTTCCCAGAATGTATACTGACAGTCGCAACACAGTTCAGCTCCGAGAATACCTTCGGAGCTTCGGAAATGTAAAAGTTGTCTGTGTTGCAGAGCGTGCCCCGCATCTGAGGGATGGCCTGTTATTTTCATGTCTCTGAAACCACTGCTTTTCCGAGATACACAAACACACATAAAATTGTACTCAAGCTATTCAAGAACTACAAAGAATATCCGATTTAATTGCTAGGAAATACGGACCTCATTAAGGGCGAAACTAAGAATAAAAAGGGCAGCAGCATTCTGGGTTGTAAAATAAAATAATTTCTGCTCACAGAGCTGAAATGAAGCACACACCAAGCCCCCAATTTCATAATTGCTTTCTGTGAGAGTTACATTTCAACGGACTCTCTTCCTCGAAGCCAAAAAAAGAAAAAGAAAACTCCATAAGGTGAAAGTCTTTGGTGCATGAATTATTTTCTGCATTGTTGAACATACCTTAAAAAAATAAAACATACCTTGAGACATGAAAACTGAACAGAGCTTCTGAAACGCAGTTTCTACAGTGGGTGTTCATCAAATCCTCTAATACAAACATTTCAAATTACAAAAATGCCAAGGAGGATTTTGAAAATGCCCAATTCTGGGCAAACTTTCCTTTTCGGGAGCTTTTGAGTGAACTAAAACCGTTGGTGAAAACACAACCAAATGCTTCTCACCTCTACGCCACCGGACAAACTATTTTTCCCTCCTTTCAGTATTTATTGCTGACTTTTCTCATTTCTACAGATGTCACCAAGGCACGGTGGCCTTGACTATATTTTAACAGATTGGCACTTCATAGACTCCATGCCGCTGACTTGCAATAACAATTACATCGGTTTCACTTCCAGGAATGAGGCCCCGTTTCGTTCTCCACCTACATAGATTTATGTCCATGTTGATCTCTGTATACTATACCCTGGACCTATTTGCAAGAAAAACACCAGCCCTCACACCCCTGAGCACAGAGAACGGACAGGCCATTCCTCTCCAATGTCCACAAACCACCAGGAAGAAAGTTTACTCACAGAGCACACACAAGTAGGTATTTTATTAAAGACAAATACATAACCGAACAAACCGAATTACCACCATGTGCGTTAAGAGAACGCTCCTTTCTCAGCGTGAAGGATCCAAAAATCAAATCAACGTCTGCATGTCCCATGACCGGCATGTCCCAAGCCAGGTACCTCTTCACTTCCACTGGGACCGGCGGGCATCCCTGATGCTAAGGAGTCACTCCAGAGGACCCAAAAGATCACCCTTTGCCAGCCCGTCCTCGTCTTCACCCCTGCCCTCCAGCCGCTCCGATCCGGCGCCGCCTGCCACACATATCCAGACCGTCGGGGAGAGTCTGAGAACACGAAAATGCACCCGCGCTCCGAAAAGCCCTTGCAAAGGTCATCCACGGCACTCAACGGTGAATTTAGAAACCCCAATTTTTTTCTGAGTTTGAAGTTTTTAAGCCTTGCGGATGGTCGGAGTAGGAAAAAGGAAATTTACTAGGCAGTGCAGAGGAAATCTTGTTGTCCCTCTATTGTGGCAGTGGGGGTGTTGCCCAACCCTAACTTATCTGCCTTGATAAAGGAAACCAAAGAGAAGAGTAACAAGCACAAGATTTTGCCAAACCAAAAGGAACCCTCTCCTTACCTTAATGGTGCTGGCCATAATGCAATCAAGTTTATTGATCGGTAATAAATGTTAATAATAATTATTGCTTCTCGCTGACCAGAAAGTAGTTTTGATGAGGTTGTTTAGAGCGGATGAGATTGTGCTAAGTCTGGGAAATGAAGTCAGCCAATGGCAGGAAGAGGTTTCTATTGGTCCTGGCTGCCCAACCCAAAGAAACAGGATATTTGGGAGTGGAGAGATAAGAGACCCTGAAAACAATGTTGTTTTTCTTGATGATATGTGGCCAGGAGATTTTTTTTTTTTTTTAATTAAAAAAAAAAAAAAAAAGGCATCCATGGCCTACACAGGGACGGCCACAGCAGGTGTGACCTGGTGTGCCGCCGTGTGACGCGCCGCTGGGGCAGGATGCAGATGCGGCGGGACGCCGGGTGGCTGCACAGGGGCACCTGGGACCTGCCGCCGGGTGCCAGGCCTGCTGAGCCCCACCTCTGATCTGCCAGCCGGCTCGCACCCAGCACCCAGCCCGCCCTCTGCTCCCTGTGGGGAGCTTCACAGGTAGAACTTTTTTCATGACGAGGTTTAATAATAATCATGGGCTTGCTGGCTTCCAACCACCTTCATTGATTCCGCGACTCCAGTGGCTGTTCCAGGCGGTTTCTTTTCTTCCCCCTCTGAACACGTCGTTTTTATTTGCTCCACCATGAACCCGTTGAAAACACAAAGACTCTAGAATTAAAGTCACGTAGGAAAGAGGAAAAGAAACCTGTTAAATCCGTGCTCTCAAATATTTATTTAAAATCCAAAGCACTGAATCACTGCAGACGCTGGGAAGGGGCACACTCGGCGCGGCGGACCACAGCCCCGCCAGGACCCTCGCTCAGAGGTGCCCGGGAAGGCCCGGGCCAGGGCTTCGGACCCGGGCGGCAAGTTCAGGGCCACGCGTCTGTTCTTCCCCTGAAGGAAGTACAGCTCACGGAGGCCCGAACATTCCTCAGAGGGTGGCAGGCCTTTAATTACTCATTTGCAGGAAATTACTTGTTCTCTGGAAGAAACAACATTTTGCTTTGAATCTAGCTACATGAAAGTTGGACCAGTCAAGAGGTGTGGTCTCAACAGGGGCCGCGCAGAACACAATGGACCGAGTCCTGAGTCATCCGGCAATCCAGGTTTCGGAGATGCTGTCCAGTGAGCCGATTTCACCGGATTTCAGGCCGGCGTGTCGGTTCCACAACTGGCCCGAGTGTGTGCGTCTTTTACGGCCCCATGACTTCCTCACCTGGGTTAAGGATAGAAGGAGGAGAGCCGGAGAGAGATGAGGAGGAGGAGGGAAGAAGTGAAGGGAGGGAAGGAGGGAGGCAGGAAGGGAGGGGAGATTGAAAGACATAAAGGCACCAAGAAAAAAAATAAAGAGAAAATAAAAGAAATCTCGTTCTGGGTGAAAATCAGAACCTAACAAATTCTCAGCATCCCCAGTTTGAAGGGATGTTGATTTCCGCTCTTTTCATCTCTGAACAAAGAGTGAGATGGTGGCGGGCAGATTAAAAATTTCTTTCCCCTAAAATTTCAAAGTACGGAGTTGTTTTATCTGGGCAGCGTTCACCGGGGTTCCGGAGCGCCGAGAGCAACTGGCTCAGCAGGCTCCTTGCTTTCTGCTCTCCTATGAAGCATCCACTTAAAATGTTGCAATGCATCAACAGGGCTCTCTGATAGATTCCCCAAAAGCAGCCTTCACCAGGATGACCCCTTTGCTAACCAAGTTGCCATGAAAGAAACGTCTGCGGGGTCTTGGGTCTCTGGCTGCAGGGTGCAGGGGTGTATGCTCGTGGAGGGCCTACCCCTAACGCCTTGGTTCTTGGCCTAATTCCAATCACTGAGCACTGACATTGTCTAAACTCTCTATTTGAACATAATTTCAAACTTACAGAAAAGTCACAAAATCATACGAAGAACTCCTAATATCCGTCCCCCGGTGACTCCAACTGCTGGTAATACAGATCATTTGCTCTGCTTTGTCTCTCTCTTATTTATGTAAAATGTATGTACATATGTATTTATATAAAATGCATGTCCATATGTATTTATGTAAAATGCACGTCCATATGTATTTATGTAAAAATGCATGTCCATATGTATTTTATTCTTTAATAAGAATAAAGAAAAAACATAAAACCAGATGCGATTATCTGATCTGTTTCTCGAAGAGTCCATCCATAAGTTTCGTTATGTCTGATTTAAAAAATATAGATACATATTTAAAAAGTAATCTAATGAAAAGCTAATTCCGAGACAATGAACTGCAGAAAAGCAGATCTTCACTTCCAGTGGCACCATGTTGACCTGGTCCTATCCGCTTCAAAGAGAGAGACTCCTGATCCCTCGAATGGTGTAACAGCATCTGAGCCCAGCATGCTACAAATATTGAATGCAAAGTTATTTTATAAAAAATTGTTTTGAATCTTCATTGGCTATTGAGAGCAGACAGGAGATCTATGAATTGGAATATAGTGACGCAGAAACAGACACCGTTTCCCAAACATTATCCCAGGAGAAAAATCACCTGAAAGTAGAGCACATCACCCGCCCCCCCCCCCCCCCCCCCCCCGGCCTCGGCTGTTAAAATGGCCTCGGAGCCAGGTCACTCAGCAGCGATAGGACGGGGCATCTCTTCCAACCGGACACCTCCCGCCTTGGAAGCCACCCTCCGGGCCACCAGGCAGACCCACTTCACGGCAGTCACAGATGGCCCCCACCTGGCGGCCATCCTGCCATGAGTCTGTCAGGACGGGGTCCTTTCCCAGCCCCCTTGGGACACAGTCAACACCACGCTGGACGGTACGGCCCCCGGCATGTGTGTGAATAAACAGCACATTTCCATGTTGTACTTACCCATCAGGGACCCATGACCATGAATTTACCAAAGTCCTCTGTAAGCCTGTTCATGTCCTACTCCAAATACAAAACGGAAATAATGTAAAACAGACCACACATTTACCGTACTGATTTGTCCCAAAACCACGTCTTCCCACTTTCTAAAGACTCAGCATGTGCTCATCTGGGTCTCTTCCTAACTTCTCCACGCGGGATCTAGGGCAGGAGGTCGGGAGGTGCGAATCCGGGGTGAAGGTGACGTGGTTCCAGAGATGACGCAGGAGCACAGCAGAGAGATAAGGGGCCGCAGTCTCAATGGAGACACAGCGAAGATTCGTGCATGACTGACGCCCCCGTCCTGAACATCCACACCGTGAAATGCTCGTCGTCATGGAAAACATCGCAGAAAAATGATGTAGTAGATGTTTACTTAGTGGTATGGACAACTGTTATGGTGTGAAGTCTAGCAAGTTACGTATCAAGTTATAAAGGAAAAGCAGATCACAGACCCATTTGTTAAAAATAATTTTTAAAACAGCCCTGGCCAGTGTGGCTCAGTGGTTAGAGTGTTGGCCCGTGCATCCAAGGTCATGGGTTTGATTCCCAGTCAAGGGCACACACCTAGACTGCAGGTTTGACCACCGACCCCGGTCAGGGCACATGCAGAAGGCAACCAATTGATGTGCCTCTCTCACATCGATGTTTCTCTCTCCCCCCGCCCCCCTTCCTTACACTCTCTCTAAAAATCGATGGAAAAAATATCCGCGGGTGAGGATTAGTAAATAAAAAGAACAAATTTTAAAACATTAAAAAATAGAAATGTAGGCTGTAGACTACAATACTAATGGGAGAGAGCCCCTCTTTTCTTTCTGTCCCCCCAACTGTGTCTCCTTCGGTTCATCTAGAGTTTCAGAACATTTACAATAAAGACTCATACCGTTTAATGTAAACATTATGTCAGCAACATGTAATATTATGTTTTCTGTAAATATCTGCATGACGTTAGCACACGATCCCTGGCGTTGCCAATCTCTCTGTGTGCACCAAAATGCACTCCTTCTTAACTGCCTACAACCAGACAGAGCAGGTCTTTTCTATTAACCGTAGCAAGGAAACCCAGGAGACACGTGTACTTCGTGACGGTCACCTATCCAGCTCTCCCCACCATCAGTCTTGATGGAGGGCCAGGCCAGGCACTGCGGCCAGCACGGGGGCCCAGGGCGACAGGCCTTTGTCCAGGAACCGGGGCCTTAGCGTTCAGGAAGTCTGAGTCAACTTAAATTCCACACACACAAAACGGCGGAGCTGGGACCAGCCCACGAAACCCAGGCGATTGTAACAATAGGACAAAAGTGCTGTGCATCGTTCCTAAACTGACACATGAACCTTGAAACGCATAATGTTTGGATTATTAATGAGATTCCTGTGAGGAGGATGTCCCAAGGATTTTTGCCAGGAACATGCCTGAGAGTGCAGATAAGGGCCGGCCACCTGGACCTGCCGGCCCAGTGGAAAAGTCCGTCCTCCGTGGGGCTTTTCCATCCCTGTCGGTGCAGGATTCAAAGGACACTTCTTGAGTATAGTTTCACGCCGTTGGGTAAGACCATGCATGTACGTGTGTGTGTGTGTGTGTGTGTGTGTGTGTGTGTGTGTGTCTGATATCCTCCAGCACTGCATTAAGAAATAATCCAATTACAATTTCGATGACGATTGTTTCAACACGTTCTCTAGGTGGTTAATGCTCTCCAGCGTCTTGGCTGATTTGAACTAATCTAAACCAAGGAAATTATCACATACTAAATCCCCAGCTTCTCAACGCCAACACGCAATTTCCTTCATTGTGAAGCACATGTCAGCTCAGCTCTGGGGGCTCCGTGGAGCAATGGTTTCAGCGGACAGTTTCCTAAGTACCGCACAGACTCCAGCTCCCAGGCCCGCGCTGACTGGCTCCACACGCTTCCCCAAGAGCAAGCGCGGTAACACCAGCATCAGGGATTCTAAGTCCATCCACTTGTTACTCCCGGCTTTAGAAACAAAACAAACAAAAAAACCCTGAGAGCAGAGTAATTGTTTGGACACAATGCATTAGTTTAAAGAAACGTGTGAATTTCCTGTTTCAATCATCATGTTGCTATCTACAGGAGTGGGCCAAAGTAGGTTTATAGTTCCGAGTACGAGAAGCACACTTTACTTTTGTGTTATTATTTATTCATCATTGTATACTTTTCCATAAGAACAACTGTACCCCTACTTTGGCCCTACCCCATACACCTTGTGAAGCG